CTTTTGAAACGATTTGACTCATCCCTTTCAAACCTCCAACAAAGGCGTAGGAAGTAAACAGTCACTCTACTTGATGCCATTTTTTGAATGCTGATACTGCTTTTACTCCGGCACTGGTAAAGGAAAGGGTAATTCAATAACAATGATCACTAGTACCTAGTCCACTTAAGAGACTGTTTGGTGCCTATATGTATATTCTTTAACATTTTTGAGTGGCGACATAAATCGTGTGCATAAATGAGTACTATACCTTCCGGCGTCTGCAAACTAAACCGCATTACAATTTGTTTAAGGTGACTCAAGGCAGCTCGGAGACGCAAATTTGCAAAAACATCATCGCAGCATCGCCCACTAAATCGGTTAAACTACAGTCAGCATCATGTGCAGATGGCGCCTTGACGTACTGTGATCAGTCGACAGTCTAACCAACACACATAAGATCTAGCAGTATGCTAAAACATTATGTAAAGCTTTCCCAGTAGACAATACCACTCAAATTTTGTTTTTCCCTATTCCAATACCAGTCCCTTGAAAATCTATCAGAAGGAAAGGATAACTGTAACCCCGTTATGCAAATGAAAATACATTTGACGACAGATCTCGTTATGCCATTTAGAAACAATCCATATGCATGTGAAAGATATGTAAACACAATTTGAATTGTTAATACGACATACGTGTAAGCATTTGCTTTAACATTGAATCTAACTGATCATCAGGAATCTCTTAGACATGATAACGAAGCTTGTATATACGAATTGAAAGTGAAGAATGACCCAGTGCCTTCCTAATGATGGTAATCATAAAATCCATAATATCACGATTAACTGAGGCATTATCCACATACATATATATGTCATTCACCCTGCTTGGTCATCTACACTCGGAAACAATCAAACGTCGAACACTACAAATCCATGAAGGCAAGGTGCCGTGCAGTAAATTGGAACTCACACTAGCGCTACGAAGATGATAAATCTAAGACAGTATCGGCCCTTCAATAGTGGGATATATAGTCTAAATATTATTTTCGTGTCCATCTTTTGAATTAAGTGACAGTGTCATTTTATCAGACAGATATACTATGCCAAACGTGAGATTGATTCAAAGATATTGGATGTCGGACAGAAATATTTGTGCCTGATATGTGCAATAATAATAAATATAAACAGACAATAACAAAAATGATAAACATTTGGGGTTACGAATAATTTGAATTTCAAAATAACAATTCTCTTTTGATTTGACAAATAATTACAGTTTGCCAGGCCACAGTTGACCCCACATGACACATATTTCACCATAGAGACCACGCCTATATTCCATTATATTCTGTTCGACGATGTTTCCGTTTTTGTCCGACGCGTGCACGGCAATCGATGCAGTTACTCCCACTATGCACTTCGCTCCTGTTCATTACATGTTACCACTTATAAATACAATATAAGTTGATGTAATTACATATGTATCCCTTTCGACAGTGCCCTAGATACAGATGTATATTATTGGTCAATGCCCATAGTATTCGCTGAGAGCGAAGTGCATAGGGGGGGTTACTGAATCGACCGCCGCGCATGCAATGGACAAGAAGGGTAATATCATTGTACAGATAGTAGAATATAGATGTAGTCTCTATGGTGAAATCTGTTTCATATGGGACAACTGAAGCCTGACAATGCTGCAAATATTTCGATGTCGTCATTTGGCAGATCAAAAGATAACTGACAGCTTGAAATTAATATTGTTCTCAACCTCAGATTGACCAAATGTGAGTCATTTTCATTGATGTCCCTTTATTTTTATGTTGCACGTATCAACGAAGAATATTTCTGTCCGACATCAACTAGGTGGCGCAACATTGCGAGTACGGTAGCAGAGGTCGCGACAAGTGGCACCGCCTATGGCGAATCTATAATTCTAACGTTGGAAATAACCAATTTACATACGACACACGTCTCAAAGGTGAGACAGCCCACACACTAAATGCGGTTCACCGACTCTGGTCTCATTCTCGTTTAAAGCCGACAACTGCGGTCTAGGGTATATTCTCCACAACATTGTTATGGGTACAGATTTCAGTCATCAGTTTCAGGCTAGAATGAGATCAGAGATGGCGAGCCACATATTGTGTGAAAGTCAAAGGTTGTCGCTATAAACTAGCTCACCTTTGTGACGGATTTCATATGGGAGATCTATCGCAGAATTTGGTTACTTACACAAATCAGGCTATCGATTCTCAAGAGGCAGCACCACTTTTCCTTTGTATGTTGCTATCAACAGCTCAATTTTCACTATCAGCTTCCCTAGTTGTGCTGATGAGACCTATGCTATTGATCAAAACATGCATATTCACAACAACTCCATGAGTATAGTGGATAGTACTCTCTACAACTACCATAGTGCCAATCAAAAATAATACCAAATTTCAGTTATAAAATCATACGATGCTTTGAGTTACAGGTCTTTTTTGCATTATCGCCAAATTCCACTAGTCCCTCATAAGTATTTTAAAAGACGTAACTGTAAATGAAGTTGTACTTCTTCACTGTTTGAATTAGTACTAACTTTCTTCTAGTGTATGTGAAAGAACACAAACATAGATATGGTGTGGCGTAGTCCCCATATTATTTTTCTTGTTTCACTATAACAGCACAGTCTGGATCAATACTTGTCCTAGTTTCCAACGAGGAAACCAATTGTTTGACTTCCCATCAAGGGACGAAGTTCATGTCATAAGCTGTTGATGTTAAACATGTCACGGTATCTTGTTACGTTCATAAAGGCTTCCGTTAGAAATTTTTACTAAACAAAGATGATTATTCTGTGTATTTGTAACGTCAATCTGTCAATCTAAGCGCTCGACCATGCTATAAAATATATAAGCAAAAAATATATATTTTAGGCAAAATTCCGCTCAACCATAAATATTAAGGCATGAAAACAATAAGGCTAGTACTTCTATGAAATGAAACAAAGCTTTCAGTATATATTTAAGCGAATTTACACAAGTCCGAGTATTTTCGAAATATCAGTCTATGTCTATGTCTATATGCCTATGCTAAATCATGCGAGGTGTTCCCCTTATCCATTCTCTTAGGCTTTCTTTGAGACGCATGAAAAACAAAATATTATCTATCATATCAGGCAATCCAGAGTAAATACGTTGTACTATAAAATATAAGGCACTTTAAACCAGTCCTTTTTTGCTAAAAGATATCGATTCATACTACAATCTAAATATTTTACGCGAAATTACGGACCGGCTGTTATTGTGTCAAGAAGTTTAAGGCAACCATTTCCAGCATCTTCTAAACTGAACTCAACGTATTTATTCAAACTATCAAGTTAAATGTCAATGTATTCAGGTAATTATTAAATGGTCCACCATTTTGTAGGAGGTAAATGTATTAACTTTATATTCTAGGGTTATGAAGTACTCGTCACGAGCATCAAAATGATGTTGCAACAAGACCCCCATTTTCATATATTTTTTTTCCAAGATGGCGCCCAGCGGCCATCTTGACATTTTCATCTGTCAATTTTACTCTAACCAAATGGAATAAACAAACAATGAACCATGGTACTAACAAATGACAGAACTCTTATTCCCAAGGTTTTTTTTTCTGACGATCCAGAAGGATTACTTTGTTCTATTTCCGAAGGTATGTGACAAGCCCATCAATTACGAATGCTAAATTTGTTACAGGTTAGTATGGGATAGCTTTGTCAGTTTGGCAGCAATTTTGACTTGGCTGACAAATTTGATAGTATGCTGGTTAATGCTACAAACTATCGAATCTATTCCACGGCCACTGCTATTGAGTTTACGTTAGCTGAACGGTCGCATTGTTATGACATGTCAACCGTTTCTATTTCAACTTTCTGTCATTTATTATAGCACATGACGCATTTGTATTTTTTTGTGACTGTAACGTACATACATGTGGGATGTCGAATTATAATTTAGCAACAAAGCTTCTGTCTACAAGATTGACGGCATTGACGCAAATCTCCCCTTAATGACGAGTATGAATCAGGATAGTTTTTTATTTCGAAAATGCTAAAATTATCCACACCCACAAGCGTCCTGTTCAGGTCGCCTCTACCAATTGAAAAAGCAGCTTTTGCTAAAAATGGACAAGACAGCTTTCAGCAATATCGTGTTGTTGGGCTGTTGGTGTCTAGTGCCATCAGATAAAACGTACAACCTGATTGCAAACTTCCTCTTAAGTACAAATAATCCATTATGTGCGTATGAGGTGTCACTTCAAGGTGATAGTGATAACCGAGCAACAGATGTTGCAAGTATCATGAATTTTTACGATAATATTCTGAGAAGACTTTAGAACATATTTCTTTGTAATATCACCTGAAACTTTTTCTAATTCTTTCCTCAGTGCTTTTTATTTTTGTTATCGTCACGAATTTGTCGTCACGAAACTGGTAGTCCAACTTCAAGCCTCGTTATTTTTTATAAGAACGTCTTATTTTACACCACATGTTGCCATAAAGAGTACATACAAATATTGGAGTAATTCAGACAGAAACGTTTCTGCGCCACAATAATTAAATATTTAATTATTGCCTACTCCGAAGCAATAAGGCACTTGAAGATAGATAAAATTTGAGAATGGTACCGTACTTACATAACTTTTCTTTCATAATGGAGTTTCTAGAGTTCTTTAAACTTTTGACGGACTGTTATTGTAGTACCTCGAAGAAATTTATGACTAGCTAGAAAATAATTTTTATTCGCTACATCGGGCTGTCTTGAATAGACTCTACTAAATAAAGATTGATCTCTATATAGTGCACCATTTCTTGACTGACACCTCATTCTGCTACGATACTTCAAAAACTACGAGTAAATCCATGCTAACTTTATATAAATCTTTTTGAGTATTTTATCCACTATTTCATCTGCCCACATGTGGTTCACACCTGCAGGCGACCCAATATATTCAACACAGAGCACCTGAAAAATATTTTTTCTTTTATAGGATGAAGTAACTTTCAAGGCACCTAGTGACAGTTCAACACAAACATGACGTCAAAGCTAGTCCAAATGCAGGTAAGTCTAATCAAAAAGCATTATATGTATTGTTTATTATAGCGAAAATGGATATGCAGTTTATAAGGGTCAAGTAAGTAGAGTTGAATAATTTTATTGTATTCTTCTTATTCTATTTAATCAGCCATTAATAATTAAAATTCTATACCGGTTTCGAGTAAGCGAAGTTATTGTTTAATCTGTAATAGCTGCAAAAAAGGATAGTGGGCTCAGTGAATAAATTTGAAATCCTACTTAAAACCTTGAGTTTTAACCGGTATCCAAGTAACAATAGTACTTTTTTATATGTCTAACAGGAAACCGGTAAATCCTGAGAACCGAAAAAATTGCTATTGTTTCTCTTGTGCAAAAATGAGCTCCAACGCCTATTTCAAACTGGGACACATACTGAAGTAATTCTTACGCAGCTAATACAGTGCTAGCAATCAAGAAGATGTACGTCTTTGCACGTTCTCATACAAGTGGAGATCCAGTTTAACTTGAAATATCTTGGATTGATCCTTATGCTCGGCCCCTAACTCCTTTCAGTGAAGCTACATTTGATTTTTATACATCCCTACTAAAATCAGTAGATTTTGGTTGAATCGATGCTCCGGCATTTTAATAGCCTCCTGTAAAAAATTGGCCCACATACTGAAGACTACTACTCTACGGAATATATCTCCCGTTAGTTTCCTTTCATTGCTTGTTAATGCTCTTACAATTTTGGACGTAGCCTGCCTTCACTGCATACGAGGTCTGATGAATATGGTGAATAATCTGCCAATTCAATGTCCGCGTAGGAATGCAGACAGTAATTCCACTTGCAAATTCCCCCTAATGTTTCTCTTTAAGAGCATCTCGCTATTTTGAGATTAAGTTTGCAAGTTTGCATTTTAATTCTATCATACAGTTCTTTTAATGTGTTGGTTAGCCGATTACAGGTCAGGGTTCTCAATCAATGAATGTTGACTATATCTACAAAAAGTTGATTACGACCATGTGGCAGTTGCGTAGAGCAGTCGACAGGACTTGGGTATTAAGACCAAAGGTCCTACGTTGGCTTCACACGACTGTAGTAAAGACCAGGGTACAGTATGGATGCGTGATGGTGGCCATGTATCGGAAAGACCTTGGTTACCTGGATCCAAGATCGTGAATGTGATTGAGAGAAATCTCCTCATGCCTTTGCGGAAAAGGCCAAGTACGCCATAAGATCCAGCAGAATATTCACTCGTCATCCCTCTGAGGGAAGAATATGTGAATGGAGAAGTAAGATTCAAGCTTCAGGGTCTCGCGTGCTTCGTCGACACACAAGGTCACCTGCAGTTCACGAATGTACTGATACCCTTCAGAGCTTGCTTGGGTCTCCGAACACAGCGGAGTACCAAGCAACAAGGAAGCTGTTAGCCTGGCTAGGCTGTGTGCCAGAAGCATGTGTCCCGAGCCTAGGCAGGGCATAAGATAAGCAGAAGCCAAAGGTGGCCTACTCCTGTCTAGCAACTTTTGACTATATGACCAGAAAAAGATTTGAGTGGGTTCCAAACCCGTACTTTCTGCAGATAAATTATTACGGTTCCACTATCAATAACAGTCATCAAATTAACATATGCACAAGGTCTGGTATAGAGCATAGCGGTCTAACCTCGTAATACAGGAATATAAGACACTACTGCAATAAATCATCAAAGATTGATTAATATTTTTGTGATTTCTCCTCTTGGAGAAACCACACGACCTATATAAATGCTGAAATTACTTCTAACTTTGGAAAGAGGCTAAGGCAGAACAGGCAGCAAGGTGTACTTTCATTAGCGAAAATGCTCGATCCATTCCAAATAGAAACTCCGAAGCACCCTTTGGCCATAGCATCTTTAAAAACTCATTCTTTAGATGTAGCCAGTAAAATGCTGTGGGTAGAGGTATTGCTGGTTTTGGAACATTGGTGTATTGGTATCAAAGCTTATGGCAGAAAATAATGAACAATCGAAACCTTACCAAACCTTGTTTCTACATGTTTTTTGAGTTCCTCAAAACTTTGTTTTTTCTATTTCTTAAGCTCCCGCTTTTGTAGCGAATAGCCAAATTTGAATACACTTTATTAGCTGGGTTCTACAATTCGGATTATCCTTTTATTTTACTAGATTAGCAATGTGAATTTTACCCTTCATCATTAACTTGTTTATTCAAACCAAAAATGGCATAATAATAATTATAAGCTGTTTACTAGATGTTGGCTTTTATGATAATTTTTCAATACCTCCAACACTCATTTTGGATACCCTGTTTTTGTACTGATTATGTTTTTGCGCTTGTGTATGAACAAGATCATTAATAAGGCCTCCCCCGCTGTATATTATGCACAACCTACTATTCCAATATTCCAAGCAACGTATTATATGTAAATTAGCAGGATTTCAATAAATAATCCTCATGTTTTCATAGGTCATATGTTCACGTGTAGCAATTGGAATGGATGTAGTGGCGCACTTTATCCAATATATAAATATAAGGCAGCAGATTGAACTATTATTTACGTAACTAGTAAACAGCTTTCGTTTCGCCGTCCACAGACGGCCAACCATGGACAGTAGTTTTGTGCTATTTGGCAACTCGTCAGCATGGTGTAAGCTTGGCCTCAGATAAGACAACGAATGAAAGCTGATCATGTATCCTTTATGCAGATTATAAGGTGTCTATCGAAATAAGTCAGCATACAGTGCCATGTATTACCAGAATCGACCGCTGCGAAAACGAAAACAGCAAGCTGTTAGAACTGCAGATCAGTTAAATTTGCCAGCCTGGTCGTCACCACTCTGGTACATGCCGCAGATTCTGGTTCTATTAAGAGATATTGCTTATTGACCGAAATAAGGTTTGACTTGGGATAACCTAAATAAGTATACTAAGTGACATATAAATCCGAACACCCAGTTTAAATGGTTTTATTTTAATAAAAGTTGGTGAATGTATTTATCTTACTGTAAATAACAACTGAAAACATTTTCAGCCTTATCAGTTGGACACTCGGTTTTTATACTGCTTTTTTTTAATTCACTAACGCTCTAAACATGAATATTTCAGCCGCAGTAAAGAATCAACGATGGCGATACGGTTCTTGACATCCTTTACGATCGGTTACGATGCCTAGAGTATGGAGACCTGTACGATTTCGTCAACTCAGTGAGTTCAATAGGGGCCGTATAGTGGGACTTCGGGAAGCTGGACTTTCTTTTCGGGCAATTGCAGTTAGAGTGCAAAGAAGTGTAGACACTGTGGTTAGGTGTTGTCAGGCATGGTTTCGAGAAGGCCGTACGCAAAGAGCAAGGGGCACTGGACGCCGCCGTAGAACAACAGACCGTGAAGATCGCCGCCTAAGATTATTGGCCTTAAGGGACCGTTTCTCCACTACCAGGTCCATTGCAAATGAATGGTTTGCAGAACACGGAAGACCTATTGGCATGCGAAGTGTTTACCGACGAAGTTTTGGCTTGTTTTCATACCGGCCACACTGGGTCCTCCCTTTAACTCGAGAACACCGACGTAATCGCAGACAACGGTCACTTTGGGATCAGGAATGGAACAGTATTGTCTTTAGTGACGAGTCTCGATTTTGTTTAGGCATGCACGATGGTCGTGTCAGGGTTAGAAGGCGACGTGGTGAAAGGAGGAATCCACAGTTTTTTGTTGAAAGACATGTTCATCACACTGTTGGAGTTATGGTTTGGGGCGCTATAGCTTATGGTTCCAGGTCACCTTTAATCTTCATCAGAGGTAACATGAATGCGCAGCGTTATATCCACGAAGTTCTAGAACCCCATCTTTTACCCCATCTTGACACCCTGGCAGATCCAACTTTCCAACAAGATGATGTCACATTGTTACCATGGCCACCAAGATCTCCCGACTTATCCCCAATTGAGCACGTGTGGGATATGATGGGTAGGAGATTGCTCAATTTGCAACGTCCTCCTCAGACTCTAGAAGCACTTCGAGAGGAGTTGGTGGTTGCCTGGAATGAAATACCACAGGAGGACATTGACCACCTGATCAGACGCATGCCTAGGCGCGTTGGAGATTGCATAGCACATCCGGGTGCATCCACACATTATTAAAGGTCAAAGGGCTTTAAAGCAGTGCAATCATTTTGAAATTTTTATCATTTACTTATTATGCTTCATTAAGTACTTATACAAAATTTTATTAAAATAAAACCATTTAAACTGGGTGTTCGGATTTATATGTCACTTAGTATATAATGGAATGAGAAATACTGCACGACTCCCGGATTTTGATAGCTCGCTTTGGCCGTGTTTACAATTTTATCTTGACCTCACTTCCAGTTTGGTCTCGGGTAGTTAACTTATTTGTATTTGAAATTTTACATTCTGTATATTTATAGGCTATGTCCATCTTAGGCCATATTTTTTTTTAAAATAGTGCTATGTAAATTTTTCTGCATTCTGCTTACTTAGTTTTCCAGAAATGAAGAAAACCGTATGCGAAATCAGCCCTTATTGGAACATCTTTTTGATAAAGCTTAAAAAAGTACGGATAATGACATACACAATACTCGTATGTGTTTTTTTAAAGTTGGTGATAACATTTACATCACTTGATCAAAGATAATCGGGCGCCATCGGAAAGTTGATGGTGGGAAAGCTGAATCTAAGATTTCCAAGAAAAATGTTTCCATTTGTTATGCTTCACGTCTAGCGGTAGTTGTTGCTAGATTATGACGGTGAATGTAGAAAATATTTATTGTAACACAATGAGTAGCGTTGCTATTTTTTAATGGTAAAAGTATTATCCTGACGTAAAGCATTTCTTCGTTCACTGAATGCAACCAGAAAGAATACGTCTGTCTGGGTTGGAAGGTCAACCCAACCTTGCTCCTATTTTGTATAAATTGCGTGGACCCTGACTGGGTATACTTGCTCTTCCATACATGGACATAACCGAATGATTTAATCGAAGTACTGTGTCAACTATTTATTTATATACAAACGATCGGTATCCAATGTCGGATTGTAAAGAGAAATGGCAAGGTGTTGTTCCTAGCCGTTTTTATTTATTTTGAATGAACTTTTGGTGCGATGATACATGATCTCCAATAATAGCCGAATTATATGAGTCATAATATCATATTAATGGTTATGTCGAGGATTTTGCTATTTACTGTTGTTTCACAACCTTATTTGGTAGGCGATGCCTTTCAACGAAATTACAGGTTTGCCGTTCTCCTTAAATTCAACATTCTGTCTTTAACTTTATTGCTTTTCTTTTAAAATGCGATTGCTTAATAAGTAACAAGTTTATTTTACGCTAGATGTCACCCGATCTTACAAAATATATGCGAATGCAGTATGGTGATTTAATATTATTTGAACTGAAATTTGAAAAACCAAACAAAAATGTATCCTTTTAGAAAGCTTAAAGCTTGGTTGTGGGACGCCCTAGGTCTGTCGTTTAAAAGATAATCTTCACTAACGACTACAAATGTTTTGTAAGAATAAGCGATCTATATCATAGACTGCTGCTCTTTCAAATATGTCAAAGCCATTCTCCAATTATCCCATTTCTCAGATTTTGCATATATCCAACGATATCAGTATATAATTGTGATTAACTTAGAAGCAATTGTAGTGAACATTTTTGATGCAACCTGAGATTTGATGTGCCGAACTTTAATGATTTTGAACAGATTTAATAGGTTAGCTTCCACTGACAAAAAAGAATGTCTGCGAATCCTTGGCCCGTCTATAACTTGAATTGTATCGCTTGGATTTGGATTAAATTTTCTCACAAGGTCACGAAAAAGATCGGTCCAGTAGTAGTGGAGAAAGATGCAAAAAATGGAAAAATAAAAAAACTTAGTTGTTTAACGTTTCATCATTTTTGAAGAATTTGTTATGGTGTATCGCAACTTTTTGATGTTAGCATATTAATATATACTAAGTGATATATAAAATGCCACACCAAGAATTATTTATTGAATTTTGATAAAAGTCATTCATATTTGCTATCATGTGAGTATACATCAGGATCCGAGTAATATGAACATGTTTACTTAATATTTAGCGATTTTTAGGTATTGGTTCCATTTGCTTCGTTGTTGTTTCATTGCATTATCATGCGTAGAGTTCGCAAGCGCGCTAATTTCCTCAAGTCGGATTTTCTGTTAGAGAAATCGCTAATCGGGTGAATCGAAACGAAGCTACTGTAATGAGATATTGTCGAGCGTGGTTCCAAGAAGACCGAATTCGACGAGTTATCCACAAGGGCAGTCGCGAACCAGTGGTTTCATGCTATCGGAAGGGCACTAACAATGAGGACAGTTTATCGTCAAATAAGGTCTTTTGGACTGTTTTCATTACATCTCCATCTTGTACTACCTCTGACCCACAGCATCGTCGGCAGCGATTAATCAGCTCTCACTTTACAAAAAATCACAAGTAAGATAAGTATACAAAAAGTAGACACATGAGATTTGAGAAAAACTAAACAAATATAAATAAATTTAGAAATGTAACCAGAACAATATATGTGCTTAAAATAATAAATACATAAGATAAAAGACGTTGAAATGGAACTAAATTGCATTATCACAGAGGTACTCGTTGACTGAGTAATAAGTTTTACTAAGGAGTAACTGTTTGACAATTTTTTTAAATTCATGAAAATTTGATTTTCTTATGCAATTTGGTAGTTTATTAAATACCTTTATTCCCATGTACTTGGGGCTGCTTTCATTTATTAATAGCCTATGTGCTATGGTTTGTAATATTGAGTAATTCCGTGTATTGTAGCAGCTATGTGCATTGAGTACATCAAAGCTAATGTAGCTATTCTTAACATAAAGTAAAAGTTGAAATATGCAGAGGCACGGCAAGGTAAGTATCTTTAACTTGATGAAAATGCCTCTACAAGGTGTTCCTGTGCTTGCAGAAACTATCATTCTCATATCTCTTTTCTGAATTACAAATATAACTGGATGCACCCCAGATAATTAGTCCATTGGAAATGGTGCTCTGAAAGTAAGAGTAGTAATTCACAATTATTATGGATATATTCACAACAGATTTCAGCTAGTTTATACAATAAACAAGAGGTAATAGTTTCTTGCATAGTTTTTAAATGTGCACTGTGAACTGTGCCCTTAAAAATTATGGATACACATAAATGTTTGAATTATTTCTGCTTGGCGTAAACTATCACTCTGCAAGAGAATTAACAATACTTATGTCGGTACTGCAGTGTTCATCGTACTGTAAAGATTGCAGTGCATGGTACCTAATACCGTTAGTAAAGAACAGCGAAGCTTCCCGATAATGACATCGCCAACAAACTAATTACCGATGGAATATCTACATTTATGTAGGTACATTATCTGCAACGACGATATAGGGTACTGTTATTTTGTATGTACTCGTACAGTGCTTCCTGCAGTTTCGTTATTCATTTATAAAGGTATTATTTAAATGTATATATTTTTACGGTGGCATGGTCAATATATGCTGGTGCCAATAAATGAATTGTTCATCGATTGCAACATTACTCATTTGAATATTGAGATAGAAATAACTGCAAACAAAAGGATTCTGTATTATCTGATAAAAATTAGGGTCACAAGAAATTAACACCCGTAGCACAGCATGAATTAACGAAAACATACAACTATGTTTTCTTTATTTGTACTGTAATTCCAAATATGAATCTTGCCAATGTTTACTAAAAGGTAGACTTACATACAGTCGTTGTGATTTAGCTTCCTGATGTACCTAGTATTTGAAAAAAAACGTCCATAAGGAAGGAAGACAGTCTGTAATCAAGAGAGGATAGCCCTCAAAATCTCACGCACAAAACTGTAAACACTATTAAGGAATAATTGGCTCTTTAACTTTCAGGTGAGAATATAATATATAATTATTATTGCTGCCCATGCCTACGGCATGTAATATGCGCCTATGTAAACAAATCTGTTATGAATATAAACAAATCAATTCTCGATAATTAAAGACAGCAGCACGTAGTTCATGGAACAATTAATTTGCATATGCTCCAGCAACATTAACGATTGTCATTGTCGTTACTGCCTTGATTATAATTAATTTAATTCTTTCGGATATACAGGGTGTCCCAGAATGTGCGATCAATCATTTGCTTATCCAGTATCATAATTTTCAGATCAGTGTCGAATGGCGACTGTATGACTCAATAATCGGTGTCAAAGAAAAGTATATCTCTTTTGTAAAGGATTAGGTATTTTCAAAAACATTATCTTTTGGGTTACTGGAAATTCGTCGTATTTCTTCCTGGATGTGATACGGGAGCTAAAATGCAACAAATCTCATTCTATATACGGGGTGTGCCAGAGTGACACAGGAGGTAGATTGGCTTCAGATCAATCATATAAAATCAACATGACCTCAGAAAAGTCTTCTAGTTTTCGAGATATTGCCACTTTCAAGTTTTTTAAGAAATCCCTACTTTTTACTCCTTTTTTGCCTGTTATAGCTATAAAGAACTTCGAACTTTAGTCTTTTTTCCTGGGGTACCATTAATAGTTGGTTGAGACAACCGAGTATTCATTTCATTGAAAACTACCACAGTATGCTGAAAAAAAAATTATTGCATATCAATGCGAAAACTTTTACTAAAGCTTTATTAGCGTTATTACCGTGAAAAAAATGTACCAGACTGAATAAGCAAATGATCTTGAAAATTAGCTCTTTAATGCTCTTTCAAAAATACTATAACATTTGTAGGTTATTTTTACTAAAAGCTGAATAATTCCAAGTTTTGTCATTGAAGTCGTAATACTTGCGAAATACTACAAATAAAAAATAATAAATGCAACTGTCTTTTGTGTCCAAAGTACAACTTTGTAGTTGCTGTAATCGCTTTGTATTTTAGCGAATGTCTAAAACTGCTATCCATTATCCTTTTCTATTCATTGTTGCATGCAGGCATCAAAATAATGAACAGAACATTAGGTTGCATTTTTTAAATTCCATTGATTTTGACAACATTCAGGTGGTACCTGCGCACCGCGATTACAGCAACTACAAAGTTGTAATTTGGACAAAGACAGCTGCATTTACTAATTTTTACT